AAGACCAGCACCGGTGAGCCAAACATCATGCTATCTGGAAGTGCTGTCACATTACAGAGTCAGTTGAACATCTTGGGGGTTACTGCAGAGACCAACATGTCTTGGCACAGTCACGTGGCAGATATTGCTAAAAGGGCCTCCCAAAAGCTGGGGGTGCTATTTCGTACAAGACATCTGTACACACCAAGCCAATTGCTGACACTCTACAAAGCCCAGCTTCGACCAACTAGGGAGTACTGCTCACATATATGGAGTGCAGCACCCAAACATACCTTAATGCTTTTGAATACTGTGCAAAAAGGAGCTATCAAGCTGATCAATGAACCCGCACTTACTCGTAACTTGGATGGTCTCGAACATCGCAGATCTGTGGGCGATTTATCTCTCTTCTACAGGTACTATCACGGAAAATGCTCTGAAGAGTTGGCACGTATGATTCCACCGAGAGTAGCACCTACCAGGCGAATCCGTCAAACAGACGGTAACCATGAATTTACTGTCAAACTAGAGGCACCAAGAACCTCATTATATCAGAATTCATATCTCTGGAGAACAGCATCGCTGTGGAATAAACTCCCTGCGACGGTTTTCCCTGCAGGTTACAACCTGAACCGTTTCAAGACCAACATACACCGACATTTCCGCGCACTTGCCGCTTCTCGAGCGTGATAGGACATTTCCTTGCGAGTGCGCATATCCGTAAAAAAAAAAAAAAAATATAAGTAAATTTAATTGAATTCATATTTGAATTTCATTAAGATTTCGAATTGGAAAAGTTGGAGTTACCTCAGATATTCGTAAAGCATTTCTACAGATAAGCCTCAGTCAGATGTGATGTTCTTAGATTTTTATGGTACCATAAAAAAGAAGAAATTATACAGTTTCGATATAAAAGGTTAGTTTTTCGTCTAACATGCAGACTTTTTTTTATTAGGTGCCGTCATAGAAAACCATTTGCAGAATGCACTCAACGAATTACCATCTGGAAAAACAAATTATTCAAAATCCACGATTTGTAAGTTTTATGTTGATAACTGGGCGACTAGTAGTCTTGAAAGTATTGAAGATCTTAAAAGTTTTATAGAACTATCTACAAAACGTATGAGTGAAGCACAATTTGACTTGCGATGTTGGGAACATACTTTATGGCCGGAAGATTCATATGAAAATAAGATTTCCTTAGTTTTGGGACTCAGTTGAAAACAGTTGCATGATACTTTACAAATGACAATTTCCAGAATGATATCAAATTTAATAAAGTAAGACTAAAGATTTTGTCAAAAAATGCAATTGGAGATCCGTTCCGGGACTGAGACAGAAAAGATATCTAACAACTTCTTGACATGAACAGAAGAGACATTGGAACAATCCTTGGTCAGCTCACTGGGCATTGCCTGGTGAAATATCATCTAAAAACAATAGGCAAATCAGACAACGAACGAACGAACACTGCAGATTTTGCGAACAAGCAACAAAAACTACAGAACATTTAATCTGTGGTGGGTACTCTAACAATCAGGAAGCTGGCCTCCTTTGGGAGAAGCCTAAAAATCTTGGACACCAACTAAAAGCAGAGTCACGCACAAAATATGCAATCTTCAATCTACCTAACTTCATCAAAGAGTGTAGGTATTCGTGACTGGCAACTTATAAATGGAAGATATAAGATATAAGACTGATACCCCATAAAATATCTTCCATTTAACTTCATCAACTTATATAAGCGTTTTCCAATTATTTTACATAACAGCATGGTTATGTTACACACTTCATTATAATGTATGCAAATACCCAAGTATTAACAAAATTTTAGCCCGGACGAATTCTTTATAACTTGAAAGATCTGTTCCAACAAGCTAAAAAATCATACGAGAAACTTGAAAAGCTTTCAGTTTGAATTCCTGGAGCAGTATTTTCCTTGTCCATTTTAGTTAATTTACCTTAGTTAACCTGTAAAAAAAATCTAGGTATCTGATCTTTACCTGTTGTCAGCGAGATAACTTTCTGCCTCTGCCTGTGCCCGAGGACCCGGAACTGTGGCAACTCCACCTCGTTGCTAATGCCCACGCTCGTCAGCCCTGTTTGCCACTTGTACCGTATGTCTTTCATCGTGTATCCGACTATCCCGGCCACCAAAACAATAAAAGCTGTTCACCTCCGTCACCTCGAAACACATATTTGAAACAAATCTACCAGAAAGGTAGAGCGTTTTTTTCTAGTTTAGGGAAAATCGCGTGGGTATCAACTTAAAAAATTTTCTATAATTTTACATGCATTTCCATGCGATGTTCCTTCAAACCTAATAGCTGTATCTTTCTAGTACGAAAATAATAATGCCGAGGTGACGCAGTCTATTATATTGTTGCCACATTCTTTTCAAAAGAAAGAATGAACTTTGATATTTATCACAGTCAGCACTCGTTTCAAATAAATAAATATTCATGACTCTTTTTAGCCTATAAGTTTATGGAAAACCTTTTTGAGAATGTCGCAACGTTTTTTAGGTAGATAGAAAATTATTATTTTTTGAATCGTCATGCATTTTTGCATTGTACACATTTCCTGCCTACCTAACTTTAATCTAATAATAATTCTAGTTGTTTATTACTAGAATGTGAAAATAATTATTGCATTTCTACTATTTAAATGTTAATAATAATGATGACAATATAAGATAATAAAAATAATAAAAAATAAAGTATAATAAATTTAAACAAAAAAGTCTAACATGTAATATACATTTACTAAAACAACCCAAAATTTACTATTACAAAGAAGCTATTTATATTTTAAGCAAAAGCATGTGAAAGAAAGCTAAAGAAAATAATATTATGGTGCTGGTTGCTGGTGATGTCGTGCTGGGTGCATGCGTGATATTGGATATCAAAAGTATTATGCTAATCTTGTCTCAAAATTATTTCAAGAAACTATTGTATGCTGCTTAAATAAATCAGCCCTGACAAACTTATTGAAAATGAGACGAAATTAGAAAAAAAAATATATATATAAAAATAAAAACGAATCAACAAAAATAAAAAAAGGTTAACATGCGTGATTCAAAACTGTGGTAATGCCGGGAGAGTCTTCGGATCGAAAACACAAAAACAAGTTTTCGATTGGAAAATTATAAGGTCCGGCCTTGCTGCTTTTTGCCGGTGGCGGCCATTATTGTCACAGTTCCAGGTCCGGCCGGAGGTTGTTTATAGCAGAGGCGAAAATTTTGTTGTGGACTATTTTGTCGTGTTCGGGTTTTTAATTTACGGTCCACAACTAGAAATTTCATTGTGTATTTTTTTTTTAAGAAAAAATATTTGCCAAGTATACAATATATTTCGGTTCCTTCCGCTAGTGCTGTATAAGAGAAGGCCCGATATAGAAATTTATGTTATTATTATTTTTCTTTAAAAAAAAAACCAAACAAACTTTTAACTGAATTAATTGTTTTATTAATAAGAAAGTTATTTGGTGTTTTTTTTTTGGACATATCACGTACATTCAAACATACAGATCAACATTTGAAAATAAAAATACAAAAATCATAAAAAAATAAAACAAGTTCACTTATCTGAAAGAATTTAAATAAAAGAAAATCAAAAACTATAAATTATAATGTTGTATAATAAAATAAGGGAATATTAAGAAGAACTCGTGAAGAAAAATTGCACAAAAGTGTAACGAAATAAAATAATTTTTCAATATTATGTATATACATTTTATTTTAAATTAGATTTTTGAAAAAGTACAAAAAGATTGATCTTATGGGGTCAAATTATCTGTTCCCAACTATTATAGTAAATTTGATTTTTGCATAGGGTTTTGCTGTTTTAGGAAAGTTTCTCGAAAACAATTATTGCTCAAATCAGCGATCTTTTTTTTTTTGGTTTAATTTGAAGACCATAGAAGACGCAAATAGGAGTGTTTGTTTGGAATTGGGCGAGAACAGAGAATAATGTTTTGACTTATTGTGTCGGCTCATTGATGGACCATTGTTTTATTCAATTAGAAATCAGTTATTTCGATAAAAGGACGGAAAAGGTTTAAAACAAAGTAACTTAGATAGAAAAATAGTTTTGAATATTTTCAACCTGTCCTGTTTGATTCTCTCAGTGCCTATATTTTTCCTAGATTATTGTAACGGGCGAATAAATTTGAAAACCAGATGAATACCTTGAAAGGCGTATACAAGGTATTGGCAACCAGGGCTGGGACTCTGTAACGAATAGAGATCGTTATCCCTTTCGCTATGATACTTGATGTCATCTTTCGTTTCATAATCATTAGAGACGGGAAGTCAATAGAGATAGAGAAAATATCGCTATTCCTTACAGAGTCCCAACCCAGCTGGAACTCTGTAACGAATAGAGAGCTATGGTACTTGCTGTCTTCTTCTTTCTTCTCGAAATCAATAGAGAGGGGACGTCAATAGAGACGGAGAAAATATTTCTATTCGTTACAGAGTCCCATAACAGGCGCCCCAGGCGGACAAGCCACGAGCGCTATGACGATGCGAAAAGGAGAGAGAGGTGGTACGGCGGACTACGATGGGAGGACACAGATGTTGCGGCGTGCGAGAGCGAAGGGTGACATTTTGTTTTCCGGTGATATTTTCGATATTTTATGTGATTTTTTGAAATAAAGGCGATTTAAATAAAACTAGCGTTTCACAGATCAGAAGTGGGATAACCCCGAAGTGTTTTGAGTGGCGATTTGTGCGTGGAAAAGGCGGATTCCAAGACCCGAGGCGTTGTGTTTTAGCGGGTGGATTTTTGGGTGTGGCGTGTGTTTGTGTTGTGTGGATAATCCGAAAAAAATCAGAGTAAGGCGGTATTTCTGTATTGTTTTCTTATTTATGTACCGTTTTGTTGGCATATGCATTGATTGGTAAAAATAATAATTGTCTTTGGCGAACGGCGTAATTATTTAAAAAAAAAAACCCATCCTTTGTTTAGGGTCTGTCAACAACAAGAGGGCCTCATTTTTATTTGAGTTGTTGTTGGAGAATGGCGGAAAAACAAGGCGAAAACACAAATGATGGCGACCACTCAGATTTGGATTACGAACCAGAGGAGGAAATGGCGACAATGGCGGAAACTGGGACTCCAGATCCAACACATGTGTTGGAAACCATGTATGTTGAAAGGCGGCTTGGCGAAAAGCATCTAGCAAATAGTGAATAAGGAGTTGCGGCAGGCTCGTGAGACAGATAGGCGAGAGAGATCAACCGAGGTGGTCCCACAGGCGTCAGGATCTGGCACCGAGACGAAGCGGGTCAGGTCGAATTCGTCATGCAGTTCGGGCTGTTTGGGGGCAACGGCGGATGGAAACATCATCGAGCCTTTTGATCCAGAGAGCCGGGACTGTAATGTGGTTCGTTGGTTGAACAAAATTGATCAGCTTGGCGAGATTCATGGCTGGACAAAGTATGAACGGGCGTACTTCATGCAAGCTAAGTTGCAAGGCGCTGCACGAGCCTGGTTTAATAGGTTGGATGATTACAATTTGTCATCAGGCGTGGAAGGTGTCCCTTAGCAAGGCGTTTCCTAGGGAGCGCGACTACGCCGAGTTGTTAACGGAGATGCTGGCGAGAGTCAAGGTGACAGGCGAGACCGTGACTCACTATTACCATGATAAAATGGCGTTGATTGAGAGGTGTGAACTGGTCGGCACAAAGGCGTTATCGTGTCTGATTAGAGAACTGCCTCTCGATCTACAGGCGAATGCCAGGGCATTTCAGTGCTCCACTATTAGCGAACTGTATACATACTGGTTTCCTATCTTCTTTTGACAGGTATCAACAAACCTCAACTAGTGGCGGCAATGGCGACTTGAAGAAGCAAGTGACGTGGCAGGTACCTTCCAAAGTGACGAGGCGACCAAGCCCAAGGCGGAGAGGTGTATGCGGTGTGGAAAAACAGGGCATGATCGATTCAGTTGTCCCAGGTGAAGTGGAGTTGGCAATGAACGACATGGTAACAAGGCGGTACATGAGCGAAGTCACTATCAGGTAAGACTTATAGATGTAGTGGATAACACTTATAAAAAAGGCGATTATGCAAGATGGGCGTTCAATCAAGGCGTATATTGATACTGAGGTGTATATGGTGGTTGTTCTTAGGGGTAGTACCTCTAGGGGGGTGCCGATCACTTCCCATTGCGGATGGGCATCGACCTATTGGTCCTCAAGAGATCCACAACTCGCACCAGTGGCTCCAAGAAGGTGTTGTGCATTGCACCGGCCATACACCGGTAAACAGCTTTGATCGGCGGGCTAAACCTGGTAGAGGGTGACCCAGAAGACAATTGCTGGGTCTGGAGTAGTATCTCCTACTCAAAGTGCACGAAGACTGTTGCGGTATGGAAGATGAGCCAGGTCGATAGGCACAGGAAACCGGCGGACATAGCGTAGTAGCAAAGCCTCGTCTCAGGCTTTCAAGGGCGCCAATAATAGAGGTTCTAAATATTGATGGTCAGAGGCAACAAAGTTGCATTTACCACCTAATGAAGAGCTCATCGTCGCAGATCATCTGTGCCATGGGCAAGGCCCTTCATTGCAACCAAAGCTGGGATAGCGACGTACTAGTTCTGGCTATATACACATGCAGCTAACAAAAAGATGGATTGTTCTAGTGGAACAAAATCATCCGGAGTCAAAATACCTCCTCACTTGCATCTCCGGGAGGGGGTGTCTGCTCAAACAAGTCATCGTCAGAAACAGAAACGTCAGACGCAAGAAACATTTAATTGTGCTGCATGGAACATTCGCACACTTTTAGATTCCGACGCATCAAACCGACCAGAAAGGAGGACGGCCATTATTGCTCTAGAGTTGGAACGTCTAAACATACATCTGGTAGCACTTAGCGAAGCTCGCATTCTCGAGGAAGGAAGTTTAGTGAACGGTAATTACACTTTCTTCTGAAAGGGTCATCCCAAAGGATCAACGAAAATCCATGGCGTTAGCTTTGCTATTAAAACCAGCCTTATGCCTAGACTGACTGAACTGCCCCATGGTATATCAGATCGTTTAATGACGCTAAAGTATCAGTTGCAAGACCAAAGCTTTGTTCAAATAAGCAATGCACCAACTTTAGATTCTGAGCAACAAACTAAAGAAACCTTTTTCGAACAGCTTGAACATGTACTCAGACACATTCCAAAAAGCCACCGAATAATCTTGTCCGGTGACTTTAATGCAAGAGTAGGCAGAAATTCTGAGACTGGCCTAATGTAATTGGTACGCACGGAATAGGTAACATTAATAGCAACGGTGAACTTCTACTAACTAAATGCGTTGAACATGATTTGACAATAACCAACACGCAGTTCAGACAGAGAAACGGACACTGGCACATGGCACATGACTGATTACGTTATAGTCAAGAGAAAGCACTTAAAAGAAGTAAAAATCACAAAAACCATAACAAACATTGAGTGCTGGACCGATCATCGTCTCGTAATCTCAAAAATGCTGGCAAACCTAAAACCTCCATACAGCAAGAAAAAACAAGCAAAAGCCAGAAAGAGAATTCATACTAAATGACTTAAATTTTTAGACATAGGGCAAAGGCTACACTAAGACATAGAGTGAAGACTAAGTAATATACCTATTGACGACTTTGAGGACATAGAAACATTCTGGGCAGGTCTAAAAGAATCCCTTCATGAATCAAGTGCCTCAGTTGTAGGAGTTACATAGAATAAAAAACAAGAAGATTGGTTCTTAGAAAATTTGCAGCAGATAAAGAGCATCTTGGACACGAAACACAATGCGTTTCAGTCAGTCCAAAACAATCCCAACAATATTAACATACAAAGAAAATATGAAGATGTGAAACAGTCAAGTCAAAAAGAAATTAGGCAAATTAAAAACAAGTGTTGGACTGACAAGGCAAAACAAATCCAAGGATATGCTAATCAGCACGACCAAAAAAACTTCTTTGAATCTGTCAAGAAAGGTGTTAGGCATTGAAAAACTTCCCAACTTAAGGATGATAATGGCAACTTAATAAAAGACCGAAACAAAATTAAAGATAAATGGAAAAAACATTATACAGCCGTTCTAAATCAACACTCTACAACTGATGACACAGCCATTAACTTAATACCGCAGTATGAGCCAACAATGCCAATGGATAATGATATAACTAAGGAAGAAATTCAAAAAGCAATTAACAGCCTAAAAAACAACCGCCCAATTACCAGCAGAGATATATAAAGCTCTCGTGAACCAAAACCAAACAATAGAAAACCTAAAATCCTTTTTCAAGTTAATCTGGACTAGAGATTTCCGAGACGCATTTATAGTCAATCTATTCTAGAATAAAGGCAGTGCTGCTGACTGTGGGAACTACAGAGGCATTTCGTTGCTGTCTATTGGCGGAAAAAATTCTCAGAAGGGTTATGGCAACCAGATTGTCAAAATATGTAGACCTTATTGTACCAGAGACACAATGTGGGTTTAGACCAAACAGAGGTACCACAGATCTGATTTTTATCATTAGATAGCTCCAGGAAAAGGCCAAAAAACAGTAGTCACAATTATGTATGGCATTTATAGATTTGGCAAAGGCCTTTGATTCTATCAACAGGAAAGCATTATGGAAAATCATGGCGCGCTTTGGCGTATCTCCAAGAGTCTCCATGAGAAGAACTGGAGAAGGTTTTAATAGATGGTGAACCCACTGACCCATTTTTAACACAAACAGAAGTCAGGCAAGGGTGTGTACTTGCCCCAGTTCTTTTCAATATTTTTGTCACTGCGCTAGCCATAATGGTAGACACCAAGCTAGAAGTACGAGGTATAGCAATTAAGTACCGATTTGACGGAAGCCTCTAAAAGGCTTAGAATCAAGACTAGATCGAAAAATATCACCGATTTACAGTATGGTGACGATTGCGGTTTGTTGGCTGAGTCATCTGAACAGCTGCAAATAATTGTCGAAACATACACGTGGGCCTACGAAGTTTTAGGTCTGAAAATAAATATTAACAAAACCAAGATTATGACCACGCCCCCAGTGCAAGAAAACGCAATAATCTATATTCAAAAAAACGGTTTGGAGAACGTCGATCACTTCCAACATCGCATTAATAGCGCCACTACAGCTTTTTGGAGACTTAGAAACAGAATTTTTTGACAATCAAATACCTATATCCACTAAGGTCGCTGTGTATAGAGCGATAGTTATTCCAGCATTAACATATAGCTGTGAAACCTGGGTGCCATACAGAAGACACATCAAAGCTCTAGAGTGTCCTTCAACAGAGACAGCTACGTCAGATTATGCACATACAATGGTTTCATAAAATATCAAACATACAAGTACTCCAGAGAGTGTAAAAGCATCTCAGACATTGTTGGACAAGGCCGTCTCAGGTGGGCAGTCACGTGGCTCGCATGCCCGAAAATCGTCTACCCAAATATGTATGGCGAGCTTGCGGAAGGCCGACGCAAACAGGGTGGTCAATTAAAGCGTTTTAAGGATGTCTTCCACAACAATCTGGCATCTATTAATATTCAAGGTAATTGGGAAGATCTTGCGCAGGACCGGAACGGTTGGAGTTGAGTTGTTGCTACATTCACAGAGGACACACCAGATAGGCCGCGTCGGAATATTCCAGGAGAAAATTATGAATGTCCGGGATGTGGAAGAATAATGTTTAGCCACATGCGAACACACAGAAGATAACCAAGACTTTAATCTGTGGTTGTTAACACTATCTTTTTGTTCATATATTCGGTAATCGAATAAAGCTATATATATGTATTGATACTGGTAGTGAGCAAAACATTATTCGGCGAGAATGTTTTCAAAATCTTGGTGATTACCAGATTAACCCATCTAGCATAGTGCTAGAAGGTTTTGGCGGAGCTATGTGTACAGTGAACTTGCTGGCGCTGATATTCTTTTAGGGCATTAGCATGAAGGCAAGGCGCAGCTGACTAGCACTGAGAAGGAGAAGGCGGAGGATTTCATTCAGAATATCACCCTGGGCGATGATGAGACCGAGGCGCAGGTCACAGAGAAAGTACTGGCGTTGGAGGATGCTACTGTATCTCCAGGCGAGGAGCGTGACAAACTCATTGTAGTTGAGGGACTACACCAAGGCGAAAAGGGCTATATACCTGCAACTCGGTACGAGCGACATGGTGCAGTTGTAGCGATAGGTAACCATGTACTGGAAGGCGGACATTCTAACGGATTGAAGGTGCGCAATCTGGGACATAGGCCAGTACTGTGGAAGAGTGGACAGGTGGTGGCGAGAGCCGTGAAGATGAGTGTGGCGACACCAAAGAAACAAGGCGAGGTAAGTTCAACTATCCATAGTATGCTTGATCTTTCATTTATTCAAGTAGGCGATATTGGTTTTACTAATTTGTCTAAGCTGCATGATTTGTTGAACAGAATGGCGATGTGTTTTTCGACTGGTGAGAATGATTTGGGCGTGACTGATTTAGGCGAAATGAGAATTCAGGTGACAACTGATAAACCAGTGGTCTATAGGCCTTATCGTTTGATATTTACTGAGAGGGCGTTAGTAAGATATAAGGTGCAAAAGGATAACGTATATCTAACATGGGATTTTTGGGCTCTATGGATTTTGCCCATTTTTTGATATGTTGTAGAGGATTTAATTCTGAACAACCTTTAAATGGGACGAAATCTTGTAGGTATTACGTTCTTTGAGATATGAGTGTTGAGAGATGAACTGTATTGCGAGTTTTTGTTAGGAGAGTATACGAGATACTGGTGCTACTGGTGTTTATCAGTCAAAATATTGACAGGTTCACATATTTCACGTCACTTAAAAATTAATGTCATCTTAGGTTAAGGCCAGGACCGCACTGGGGTCAATGTTGGCGCCAGTTAGGTCCCAGCCTTAGCGTATGTTGACATTTGCTAGTGACGTAAAATATATCAACCTGTCAAAATTTTGATTGATATACACCAGTTTTTCGTATACTCTCCACACAAAAAGTTGTAAAATAGTTATTTGTTTTACTAGGCAGAAAAGTACAAGATTTAATGCCTCGGCTGGTGTGGAAACCAGCCGAGGCATTCAATCTGCTTTTCTGCCATGTAAAACATATAATTTTTTCTCCGAATGTTCAAATTCACACATGGACATCTTTTTTTTATTTATTTCATTCATTATTATTTTCCAAATAATTAAATTATTTTGACAATTGTCATTGTCACCATCAATTTCAAATACAAAATTGAGTGAAATTATTACCTGGAACGTTGTGACACTGTCACTTTTAATGCCTAGGCAGTGAAAGTCCACTTTTACTGCCTAGGCATTAAAAATACAACTTTTGATCCTGTCAAGTGTCATTAAAAGGCCGCTTTTTCTGTCATTCAGAGAAAAAAGTTCATCTTTCAACGCTCATATCTCAGAAACCCTAATACCTACAAGATTTCGTCCCATTCAAAGGTTGTTCAGAATTAAATCCTTTACAGCATATCAAAAAATGGGCAAAATCCATAGAGCCCAAAAATCCCATGTTAGGTGTACGTTATCCTTTATCAAATGAGATGTTCGTTTGTGTGTAGATTACAGGGCGTTGAATCCGATTACGGTGAAGGATCGAGGACCAATTGGACCGACTGGCGGGCAAGTGTTATTACTTTGGATTTGGCGCAGGAGTATCATCAAATACCTGTGGCGACAAATTCTGTGTCCAAAACGGCTCCTGATGGACATTACCAGTACTTGAGGGTGCCTTTCGGATTAGCGAATGCTCCGGCCGTTTTTCAGAGGGTGATAAATCGAATGCTGAAGGGCATGCAGAATGATCTTGTGTTGGCGTACATGGATGATCTTCTCATACCTTCATCTTCTATTTCTGATGGATTGGCGTTATTGGAAAGGGTTCTGCAAATGGTGGCGGAGGCGAATTTGAAATTGAATCTGGCGAAGTGCATTTTTCTGCAGGATAAGTTGGAGTATTTGGGGCAAGAGGTGAGTGCAGGCGGCATTCGTCCAAATGAAAGGAAAGTTCAGGCGGTGAAAGATTTTCCTGTTCCGGTTGATGTGCATGGAATTAGACAGTTTATTGGTCTGGCGAGTTATTTCAGAAAGTTTGTCAAGAATTTTGCAAGGCCATTAACGAACTTAACTAAGAAACATGTTCCATGGCGATGGGGTGCAGAGGAGCAGAGTGCATTTGATCAATTGCAGGCGGCTTTAGTTGAGAGACCAATATTGGCGTTATATGATACTGAGGCGGAGACAGAACTACATACAGATGCGAGTAAGCTAGGCGTAACGTGTATTTTTTTCTCGAAACAGGCGGATGGCAGTTTGAGGCCAGTCTTTTACTATAGCAGGGCGACAACGGTGGCTGAGCAGGCGTGGCATAGTTATGAACTTGAAACTTTGGCGATAGTAGGGTCTGTTAAATGTTGACAGATTGTTCAGCTGTAAGGGCGACAATGGCGAAAAAGGATCTTCTGCCTAGGATAGCTAGGTGGTGGATGGCGTTACAAGAGTATGATCTGTCTGTGGAGCATAGAATGGGTCATAAGATGCAACATGTTGACGCACTCAGTAGGAATCCGGTGAATGTTTGCTTAATAAACATGACTGAAGGCGATTGGTTTCTGACAGTGCAGTTACAAGACGAAAAGGCGCAGGCGTTGATAAATGGTTTAGCTGAGGAAACAGCAGACAAAGATGTGTACAAGTTGGCAAATGGGCGATCGTTTGTATGTACCTTTTATGGCGAGATTTGGTTGATACGCAAGCATCATGATGATATAGGTCATCCAGGCGCTGACAGGTGTTTAGGCTTGCTTAAGCAAACTTATTGGTTACGTAGATGGGGCGTTTTGTTAGGAAATATGTGAAGGCGTGTATGAACTGTGCTTTTGGCAAAGGTAGTCATGGACGAGCGCCTGGTCTCTGGTCTGTTGCATCCGATAGAAAAGGTGGCGATACCTTTTCATACCGTGCACATAGGGCAATCAGTATGTGCTCATGGTGGTTGACCTATTTACTAAGTATACTCTGGCGAAGCCAACAAAGACTTTGAGGTCTTCAGAGGCTATTCTCAAATTGGGAGAGGTGTTTGGCGAATTTGGGTACACAAGGCGTATTATTTCCGACCGCGGATTGGCGTTCACAAGCAAGGCGTTTGCTTTGCTGACTTTCTGGCGATACGAGGTGTAAAACATGTGTTGAATGCAATTGCTACACCCAGGGCGAATGGTCAGGTGGAAAGACAGAATCGAACATTGCTCAATGCAATAGAGGCGAGTGCTGAGTCAGAGTTTGATTGGGACGCTAAGCTGTCTGACATTGTGTGGGGAATTAATCATACTCTGAATCAGAGCACTGGATTTTCCCCGGTTCAGTTGCTCTTTCCACATAATGATGGCGTGAATGCAGATCTGTCTGGTGATGTGCAGGTGGCAAATGCACAAGCAGCCGAAGGCGAATCTTATGATGATATACGAGCAGCTGTAAATGGAAGGCGTGAAAAGGCAAGTGAAAACCTGACAAAGGCGGGACGTGAAATGAAGGCGTTATACGATCGTAGGCGAAAGGCTGTAGCCGCGGGCGACACTTACAAGGTGGGTGACTTAATATTATGGCGACAAGCGGGAACTTGTTCAGGGGAAAAAGGCGTTAATAGAAAAATGATAGATAAGTACGATGGTCCATATCGAGTTTCCAAGGTGATAGGGAATGATAGATATGTGATAACTGTTGTGAAAGGTATGCGAGGGGTATAAATCTTTATAGGGCGTTAGTGGCGATTGATTCTTTGAGGCGATATAGTAGTACCTACTGCATCTAGTGAGGATGCGAGAGCGAAGGGTGACATTTTGTTTTCCAGTGTTTTCCATATTTTATGTGATTTTTTGAAATAAAGGCGATTTAAATAAAACTAGCGTTTTACATTATATTAGATTTGTTTTTCTGTACGGAATAGGAAAACCACCAAATTAATATCTAAAAACATAAACTAGAAAATTATTAAACTTGATTGAAGGTTTAGCGAAGAAGATAGGATATTCAAGCAATAATTGTTTTCAGGAAATTGAACAGGTTTGGCTACTTAAGAGAAACTTTGATAATTTGGCCCTTATCCTAATATTCCATTGAACCTTTTTGTACCTTTTTCCGTCATATTATCTCTAAAGTGAATAATATTCGCAATTTGGGATCAACAGCTATCTGTTAAGTGCTTGTCGCTCGTGTGAAACTTAACCTAGAAAAATAACAGTGCTTTGTTGTTGAGGAAAAATTGTAAAGCTTTCATTTTAAGCCTGTATATCTATACCTTTATTTAAATAATTATTATAAATAGTAACAGACATTATTGATATTTTTAATAGATATTGAGGCTATAATTTATCAAAAATATGTTTAGAGGTAATAAAGCATGTAGGTAGTATTTGAAAAAAAGTGCACAAACTGTGCTTTATATTTGCGATTAGCTGACAAAATTACATTTAAAAAGCACATATACAGGTATCTTTTGATGTCCCTTTCGTTGCAAAGAATCTTAATCTTTGCAAAATAACAAGAAATTTATTTAGTATATTTAGTTAATTAACAATAATTGTTACTTACAACTTTCAATTTCGATATGGCATAGTTGTCTGTCCATGGGAAAGTATTGGAGGTTCATTGGACACGACGCAGTAATTGTCAATCTGTAATAACAACACTTTATTATGACTTTATACCTCAAACAAGTTCATTTAATTTATGTACATTTCATAGACGAAACTTTTTGAACTGTTGAGTGCTTGACGATATAAATTGAGCTAAAAACTATTTTCTTGAATTTCGTGCAAACAGACGTGAAGTCCGTCGATTTTGATATGATACTCCCCAAAGGAATGTGAGCTGGTGGCTCCCTACATTAGAACGCCAGGATCCTTATTCTTGAAATAGGGGAGCAGCGTTCCGTCATTGTTAGTTGAATTATCATTTGCATATCATTGAGAAAAACAGAACACTCATTTTCCTGGGAACGCTGCTCCCTTGTTTCAAGAATAAGGACCCTGTGGTCAACTGACGTCACCCTTGTTTTTGCCATAAGCTTCACCCCCTCGCTCCTCATACGGAAAGTGTCAGATTAAAAACGACGGACAATATATAGGCACTTAAAAACAAAATTACCGACTAATTGAAATCAAAACGTCAAAATCCAAATTAAATAGTGCGTCGGCGAAAGTCTCAATCCCTTACGTCCGAGCCCCATTAATTTTTCACTAATCAATTTAAAAGTTTCAGCACGTCAAAAGCAGAAGAGGAGTATGTTAAGTTGATTATTTCATGAGCGCCACGTAATGAATACAATTTAGCTTCATCCTCATTCAACCGCGCTTTCGTGAATATGATAATGTAATTTCCAGACTCGAGAATCTATTTTATTAAGTGCGGAATTTGATAATTACGGTTTCGAGAATCATAGATAAGCTAATACAATTAACATAGAATTGTGTTATATTTACGTTGCAAGGGTGAAGAAATTAAGAGTGCTGATAGTTTATTGTTTTATGTTACTTCGACAACCGGCTTTTTGTTTAGAATTCTTCCCGGGGGATTTTCACTAGAATTTCTACTATCTCTAGATCTTTGATTTCGACGGTAATTTCCTCTTCTAGGTCGCTAAATTGGAGTTATTTTTCTCTCCGATTCTGTTTTGTCTTGTCACTTAAAATACCAACTTATTTTTTACAAAATCAAGAGAAATAATGGCATCTTGATTTTGGCAAATCTTTTGTCTATGCGGCTGTAGTAACTGTTTGATATTTCTCAGACGAAGATAATAACTGTGTGTCATCAATATTCCTACCTGCACCCTTCAGCTTTCAAATTATCTTCTCCAATTCAATGAAAATAGGGACCTGGTCGTTCCTCGTTGTATTCATATTATTTAAGACTTATCAAATTCCTTTTGGAAGGAAAATTTTTTCACATATAAAAAAACAACATAACCCTATTTTTAGGATGCTTATTACGTTCGCTATTCGATGTTTTTCTAGCTAGATCCCGAGTGCGATTTCGACTGTTAATAGCGCGTGGTAGTTTTTCCGCAAACGTCAAAAAATGACGACTTTTTTAACCTCAATTCTTAATGTTGAAGTTAGACTTCACAGACGTCATTTTTTTGGTTACTTTTTTATCCGCGCGTTCCGTGAGCGTACAAAAAACTACTTTTTTGTACGCTCACGGCCGGACAAAAAAGTGACGTCACAGAAATTTCCTAGATTCCATCCCTTTGAACACCGTTTGTGGAAAAAATCGTATGTTTTATTCGGAGAAAAGCTCTTTTTGTGGCTCGTCTAAAATTGTCAAACATTTAGTCTCGCCACAAAAAGTATCACTTTTACTCCTAATAAAACAATATACTATTAGTTTAGTTTTAAGTTTTTATATTCGATATTTGTCGTGTACGTTTCGATAAGGGACAATTTTGTATGGAGTCAATTAGTTCAATAAAATAGTTTGTGAAGTGAGATTTATTCAGTGAACCCGGAATCCGTGACAATATAATACGTATTTGTAAATTGTGACTTTGTATAGTATTTTTAATTTGAACTGAAACACTAAAGAAACATCTAAGCCGTTTTCTCGCGTCCCCTTTTTTGACATTGGTTCAAAACCAGTTTGGAACAGTCAATGGAAACACCATTGCCCGTTTTAAACCTGTTTTGAACCAATGTCAAAAAAGTGTACGCGAGAAAACGGCTTAGATTTTTTCTTAGTGTTTCACTTCAAATTAAAAATACTATACCTAGCTCGGTCTTTGAAAAGGGGAGCCAGGAGCCAGAAGTAATTCCCAATTGCAAACCAATTAGTTTACTGTTTCGATTTCACAAATTTTTTTGAATTAGTAATGTGTAAAAAAATAATGAGTTTCTTAACTACAAACTACAGCTTGTTCAGGCACCACCTCAGGCTCCTGTAATAATCAAAATTTTCAGCAGAAAAATGTTCTAGCCGGTGATAATCATAATGAGAATTTTTCCCGGCTCTTGATTTTCTTTGGAAATATTTCCTAATGATTCAAGAGCCAGTAATGATAAGAAATTTAAATTTTCGGCCTTTGATTTCCTCTGCAGAAGTTTTCTAGTGATTCAAGCGCCGTTGAAAATCAAAATTTCCAGCAGAAAAATGTTCTAGCCGGTGATAATCAACACGAGAATCTTTCTCGGCTATTGATTTCCCTTGAAAACAATTCCTAGTGATTCAAGAGCCAGTAATGACTAAAATTTTAAATTTTCTGATTTAGATTTCCTCTGCAGAAGTTTTTTAGTGATTCAAGTGCCGGTAATAATCAAATCTTTCAGCAGAAAAATGTTCTAGCCGATGATCATCAAAATGAGAATCTTCACCGGCTCTTGATTTTCTTAGGAATTTCCTAGTGATTCAGAGCCAGTAATGATCAAAATTTAAAATTTTTGGCTTTTGATTTCCTTTGGAAACCTTTCCTAGTGATTCAAGAGCCAGTAATGATAAGAAATTTAAATTTTCGGACTTTGATTTCTTCTGCAGAAGTTTTCCAGTGATTGAAGCGCCGGTAATAGTCAAAGTTTCCAGCAGAAAAATGTTCTAGCCGGTGAAAATCAAAATGATAATCTTTCCCGGTTCTTGATTTCCTTTGGAATTTCGTAGTGAGTCAAGAGCCAGTAATGATCAAAATTTTAAATTTTTGGCTTTTGATTTCTTCTGCAGAAGTTTTCAAGCGCCGGTAATGATCAAAATTTTCAGCAGAAAAAATGTTTTAGCCGAGGATAATCAAAATAAGAATCTTTTTCTGCGATTGACAAGAAATGTCAGCATTTTTGACCGGTTGACAGGTCGCAAAACTCAATAATCTGGTATTTTAATTATGTTTCAATAGTTGCTAAGGAATCAATGAATAACAATACGGGAATCCCTTTTTCGGCCTAGACCGGGAAAGTGATTCTCGTACAGCAGAATAATTGGAACAAAAAGACAAACATTTAACAGATATTTAACCGATCGCAGAAAAAAAAAGTATGTGTATATCGGTGGAAAAGCACATGCTCGGCCTTCGGTGTTTGCCGGTCTCGTCTACGCCTCGCCCGTCAACTGACACCGTCGGCCGACCACCTAAATTCACAATATACTATTCCTGGCTTATGATTTCCTTCGGAAACATTTCTAGTACACATAAATTAAACATATAAACATGGAATAGGAGAAATAATTTATAAAGTTTTCACATTTCTCTAATAGGGTCAGGAACAAAATCCTACAAAGTTCCCAATTTTACAGTGTCCGCAACATCCCTTATTTTGCAAAAAAACAGCCCCGGATCGTACATTGTACCGGTTTTTCTCAATTTTCTCGGAAACCGTTGTTCAAATTTAAAAAATGGATGGACCAAAAATGTTTGCTATTAAATTCTACACAAAAACTGTTCTATGAAAATTTTTGCTAATCCTTACTGAATTTTCGCAAAACACGTTTAAAGTTAAGGGTAGTTTCTAGCAGGCTGTTAAAATATGCCAAGTTCTGGCGAACACCAGCGGAGAGGTGGGGAGGCGTCAACGCGCTTTCGACACAAACTTGCGAAATGCAATACCTACGGTGAATTATTTACAATTTACAGATTTTACTATTTTAGACTCGTAGATTCGTGAAAGAAGGCGGGTTTAATTTTGAATTTCGTTTAGTTGCTCTCGCAATTGACCTTTTCAATTTAAAACCCTCTCTCTCTAGCGTCAAACTGTCAGACGCCAAAAGAGTATGAAAACAACGGTTGACAGCCGCTGACAGTGGTTTGTTGACAAGACTTTTGTACATGTGGAAACTGGAAACTATTATTTCTTCGGTTTTTTCAAAGTTTTTTCCTAACAATAGTGATTGTGTAGTGTGCCTTTTTGTGAAAATAATTCCTATTTAACGGCGGACGTGTCTTTCCATGAGTTTCAATCAAATCCTACATTTGTCAAATTTTGGATACATAAAATCAGAAAGAATACTCGCAAAAAAAAGGGAAATCCACGGCCTATCAAGTATACAAAGTAATCCACATTCAAGTTTAGTTTGCGGGAGCTGTTTGCTTCCAAATTAATCCACCGCTTTCTCCATAGCGAAGTAGTGACTTTTCCTACATTTTCTTTCAAAACACCCCAATGCACACTGGTATTGACAAGCAAGCAAATGTTGGCGGGAAAATGATTGTTTTCATACTTTATTGTCCATCTCTTTTAATTGAAAACGTCAATTACAGATTTTTGTAGTAAAATAAAGTGATTATTTTTTTTATAAATGGACTCATCAGGTGATTATTTCATATGCGGAAAGACGCTTAAAAGTAGTGAAATAGTGTATGTGAAAAAACGCATTGCAAACTCAATAGCTGTAAGCAAAGCTCGGATAGATGACAAGCATAAGCAGCTCAATGATGTTACGACTATTACTGTGCATAAACTTTGTAGGCGAGAATATATAAAAGAAAGAAATATTCGAAGCTTGAAAAAGGCGCAGGCAGTAGCCGAGAAGGTGGTAAAAAGGTCTTAAGATCAATTGAGCAATTTGATTTCAAAAATAATTGTCTTTTTGTGCTGAGTAATGTGACGTACTTGCTGAAAAAAAGAAGAGAGCTAATCTATGTGAGGCAATGTTTGAAGTTCGTTCGCTTACAGTCAGAGATAGGATTTCACAAAGATGCTTGGATAGAACTGACGAATTAGCAGAATTAGTTTCGAGACGTGTCAATATAGTGTGATTTGTTTGGTCGCAGCAGAAGCACGGTATCACAATCAGTTATATGAATAAAATGTAGCAAATGCTTTTACTCTACCTCCATCTCCTTTTGCTGCATTAAAGCTGAATATGTTTGTCTCGAAAAACTTAAATAGAAGCATTTGCTCCTGGTTTTATTCATATGAGCCAATGTGTGTGATTCCAAATTTTTAACAAATGAACCATCCAGTAGAAAGCGGGGTCGTGCAGAAGACGACGAAATCGATTCAGCGTTTAAAAATGTGTGTGATTTCATAGAAAATTCTGATGAATGTCAATTTAGTTTACCGGACTCAATGAGAAAGATGGAAGAAAAGATGTCAGACGGTTCTTCGATGACAATAAAAACCTTGGAAAGCAAACTAATTAAAGAATACGGAGATGGAGTCGTATTTGCAACAATGCGAAAGAGACCAACAGTTGTGCTTTAGGGGATCAGGTTTAAAACTAATAAATAGCTGGTATACAGAAAGGGCTATGACCAAAAAAGAAGAACGTATGAGAATCGTGGAAGCTACGGCAAATATTATTCGAAAGGATATTCGGACTACTGTTTACGATACAACCGAATATCCAGACTTGTCAAATTTTACAGATGAAGCGGAACATCTTGTGCCAGAGACTTTAAGTGCACTTGTGAACACAATAATTGTAAAAGACAAAAAGGGTAAAATAGATGGTGTTGAGAAGAAATGTACAGCTATTGCTCACTCGCTCATATCGGCTACTAAGCCGCGTTCTTTCTCATCTCCTGTATTGCTTGGACTTGCTGTATACCTATTTCGCAAAATTGCTTCACGGAACATAGTGCAAGCCGTTTCACATTTAGGTTTTTGTTCCACCCATAGCGATGTTTCACAGTTTGAACACTCTGCTGTCAAATCTTGGAATCCCGATATTAATGAGAAATCTTTTTCTCAATTCGTATTCGATAACACTGATTTCAATATAAACACCATGACTGGTAAAGACACTTTCCATGCAATGGGTGAGATACACTGCATCACTCCGCACGATGCCATAAATAATTAATTAAATTGCTAACTGTTCCATCTCCCGAGGAAATTGCCAGTTGTAAAAAAATAGATTTTCAAACTTACCACGAATCTAAAAGTGGAATTGAACAAACTTTAATAAAAAACGTGTATACTGAAGCTGCTTTTGATAAGGCTGCGACACCTTCAGATCAGGATTTTGTATGGATGTATGGAAAAAGTCCTACAGTTGCCATGTTTTCCATCTTGGCAAGGCTTTATGGATGCTATAACGTGTACCTTACCCTATACAAAATAACAAGTGCTTGCCCTACCTTTTCTCAATTATTCTCCTACCGATTTAAGTACGATATATAGTGTTTTAAATTTTGCCGCAGAAACAATCAGTAAACTAGGCCAAAAAACATGTACCGTCACGTTTGATCAGCCGCTTTACCTTAAAGCAAGAAAGATAATTGCTGCAGAAGTCGACAATGAAAAAGTGTCGAATGTTGTTGTGAGATTAGGAGGGTTTCATTTAATAATGTACCATCGTCACCAAAAGTATCTGGGACAAAAATAATGCATAATAATCTCCTGGACTAATTCTAACGTCATTCATTTCAATGCATTTAATTCATAGTTTGACAAATATTTGACAATTAAAACATATAATAGTACAAGAGCTGCTGTCCCAGTTACTTTTGGTGACGATGGTACCTCGGATCAATTGGGTACATTATGGCCAACAGTGGACTTTCGGAATTGTGGGCAACAGTATATGCATCAGCATCCATACCCCATATGCTTTCTGGACATGCATATGCTCGGGCAATACGAGCACATCTTCTCACATACGCTGCACTGTCTACTATAAATACTGGAGAAATATCTGAGAGAGAACATCTGCAAGAAATTCTCATAACTTTTAATAGTACTACACGAGGTTTCGATTCCAGACATATCGATACTGTCGTATAGACAAAGTTAAGAATGATTTTCTTGAACAAATTCCTAAACTGCGAGAAAGAGGTAAAACAGCTCAACTTTGGTTGCACTGTCATGAGCTTATTACCATTGCCATGCATTTTATTCAAGAAGAACGGATGGGAAATTGGAACCTCCATTAAGATTGCGTAAGAGCTATGATACCAATTTTCCATGCTACTGGACACTTCCCATACGCAAAATCATGCCAAATTTATCTACAAGATATGGAAACTCTTACATGCAAAATGACTAATGATGAGTTTGAAAAATTCGCAAAAGATGGTTATTCCACTAACCGTCGGTCTGATAAACACTGTTGTGGTGTATGGTCAGACGTTAATAAAGAACATGAAGAGCGTTGGAGGCATATCACACGGAAGAGGTTTTACTGAAAGTGTCCTCAATACATGGATTTACTGGCTACCACGTTTGCGAGGTCATGGAAATATATTACCAGATAAAAACAAAGAGTATTAATCAACATGTTGAACTTCGAGATGGAAGAATAAAAAAGGACGAAGAAGATTGTGAGAAATTTACACATTGGCTCAAGGAACACTCTCCATTAATTATAACGGAAAATTTGGTATCACTTTCAAGTGGACTTGTTGCCGATGACAACTTCGACTGTTTTAAAGCAAAAGAGATCGGAATAAAATCGATGGAAACGTTAACTAAAGAAGGAAGTACATATGGAGATTTGAAACTCAAATGTTCGAATATGACAAAGTTAATTGCATCTACTATACTACAAATTCCGTCAAAATTAAAGACGACAATGTAATTCAAATCGATACGACTCAACTATTACAGAGAATACTCTGCACCGTCCATTCCCCAACAAAAGTGAAATTATGTTTCAGTTTTGAACTGGCCTCTGTTCTCGCTTCTTTATTTGATGAGAAAGGTTTAATGAGGAAAACGAAGAAAGCATCATTGTATGAAACTTTTAACAAAGTTCCAGAACGAACTGCCGACTTGAGCGGTCATTTCGAATTTGTAGTGGATGGTGGTAATTTGCTTCACCGTGTGGTTTGGCCAAAACAGGCTACATTTCGTGACATTTACTCGGCCTATTTTAACTTTATACGTAAACACTATGGTCACTATGTAACTGTATTGTTTGATGGATATGCTGATATTTCCAGTAGTACAAAGAGTCTTGAACGACAAAAACGACTCCTGAAGCGAACTTCGGCTATAATTACATTCAGTGAAAACACACCAATACACGATCAACAAAAGACTTTGTTAGGTAATATAGCTAACAAAGATCGTTTAATTTCTCAACTTGTCGAGAGGCTAAATTCTGAGAATATTAATACTTTTACTGCTTTAGACGATGCTGACTTACTAATCGTTAAAACCGCCATCGATGTATCAAGTCGACACGACACTGTGGTTGTAATTGGTCAAGACGTCGATCTTCTCTGCCTTATTATTGCTCTTACTCCTCAAGATAGGGATATTTTGTTTGAGAACCAGCCGTAGGGAATATAAAGAAAAGGATTTATAGATCTTCTGATATGCAATCATTCAATGTTATGAAAAATATTGAAGAAACTGTTCTTTTTGCACATGCGTTTAGTGGTTGTGATACCATTTCCGCTTTTTTCGAGAAAGGCAAATCTCAAATCGTAAAGCATATTAAACAAAAGAAAGGATTTGGAAGATGTTGTGCATATTTTCAACAGTTCACAATCTACGAAAGAGCAAATTGCAAGTGCTGGTGAGAAATTCACACTTGCCTTATCTAAAGCTGAACGAAAAGAAACTTCTTTGAATAGCTGCAGATTTATTTGTTGGTTGGCCAATCCAATCGTGCTGTAATTTTGTCTGGATTGCCACTATTATTTGCAGCATTAAAACAGCATTCTTACCAGGTATTTCAACAAATTCAATCTTGGCGATGAAATGATATACAGCCAACGCAGTGGGGTTGGAAAAAAATGGGCAACATTTTATCACTAGTTTTTACTACCAAGACGCCAGCTCCAATTTCTGTTCTGAAAGTTATATCGTGCAGCTGTAAAAACGGTTGTGGTAAGCGATGTGGATGTCTTAGACTTGGATTACATCGTTCAACCATGTGCTCCAACTGCCATAGACAGGGTTGCTTGAATGCACCACCTGACTCTGACGAGATATTAAATGAAGAGGACCCAACAAATGAATGAAAAAGACTTGTTAATGCATTGGGCCTCCTGGGGATACCACTTAAAAAAAAAAACGCGCCGGGAGCTCTACCTCATGGGTGGTGTGGAAACAATCTCAGATTAGAAAATGCATAGTTTTATGCTCTAAAATCCCTGTCACATTTTAAAATTTGACTTAGACAATACCTATGTAGTGATATTATAGCAGTAGAACGATGAAATCACTACAATTAAAGCCACATTTTATATGTTGGAAACTACACCCCACTTTGAACATTATTTGCGGAAATTCAGAGAGGATTAACTGAAATGCTTATCGGAAAGTTTTTGTGTAGAATTTAATGACGAACATTTATTATGTTCGGACAACAGTTTACGAGGAAATTGAGAAAAAACGGAAAAATGTACCATCCGGGGGTGTTTTTTTTTGCAAAATAAGGTATATTGCGGACATCGGCCACGTGGGAACTTTTTTGGGATTTATTCCTACTCCCATTAGAAACCTAATTTAGGTAATATTATTATGAAAACTTTATAATTTATTTCTTCTAAAAAGTACTATTTCACAGCCTCCTATAGTTAACAAGCCATGAAATTGGAAATGACGGCAACGTCGCGTATGGTGCTATTTTGTTATTGGGTTATGTGTTTCTGTGTATTGCTTTCATTGTGTATTGTTGCAATTTAGTATTTTTATGGGCATTATTGACGAAAAAGTGGATAGAAACACACCAATATATTGCCCATATTTAGTTGATACCTGTTCCTTTGTGCTTTGATTGCAAATTTTTAGCAAATGGGTACAGGAGCAAAATGAAGGTAAGGTAAGGTAAAACAATAAAAACAATATTAATATTTGTCTGCAAGAGCATAGGTCTCGATATATTACCTAAGATATTTAAACTTGTTCCAGATGCCATGAAACTACTGTGTTCCTGGGTGCAAATCGAACTATTAGGAGTTCCTTAAAAACTGAAGAAATGCAAACATTTTTATTTCCAAAAAAATTCTGAAGTGCAAAAAATGTGGATGAAAGCAATACACCAAGATAATTATACCCGAGATTATACAATAACGAAAAATTCTGTGGTGTGTTGTAAACATTTTGAAGAAACCGAAATAATTAGATTTGAAACAAACAAGGATAAAGGCGTAGTTCGAGAGTTCAAACTAAAACGTCCAACTCTTAAAAGTAGGTACCTCTTATTTTCGAAAATTAGCTCAAGTATTTGAATGGACTTGCCTTCCGAAAAAATCCCGAAGAAAGAAAAAGTTAGATTTTTCAAAAGACATACTGAAACATAGGCCTATAACACTTTAGACTCTATAAATATATTCATTTAAATCAATTATTTACTGTTCTTATTTACACAAATAGTTAAATTATTCATTGAATTACTGTTTTTGGCCCTTTAGTACAATAAATTATGTATTTTTTGTGATTCATATTAATAAAATAAAAAATATATATTTATACAAACAAACACCACCAGCACCACTTGGCGGTGAGATTGCGGTGTTGCCTTTTTAACTTCATGGCTTGTTAAATGTAGGGGGCTGTGACTATTTCCGTGTACTATTCCTAGTGATTCAAGAGCCAGTATTGATGAAAATTTTAAATTTCTGGCTTTTGATTTTTTCTAGAGAAGTTTTCTAGTGATTCTAGCGCCGGTAAGGATCAAAACTTTCGGCAAAAAAATGTTCTAGCCGCGATAATCAAAATGAGAATCTTTACCGGCTCTTGATCCTTTGGAATTTCCTAGTGATTCAAAAGCCAGTAATGATCAAAATTTAAAATTTTCGGCTTTTGATTTATTCTGGAGAAGTTTTCAAGTGATTCAAACGCCGGTGATAATCAAAATTTTCATATATAATACCATAAGAGAAAAAATTTTGTTGGCAAAATTTTCGACTGATATGAAAGTTTGTTGCTTGGAAATTACCAAAAAGCAACAAACTTGAATAAAACCAAGATAATAATTTTGCCTACATAATTTTTTCTTGGGTGGTATTCGGCTGGACTATTTCACGAGAAAAACAAGCCAAATTTTCATTCGGAAAATTTATTTTCTTTAGGTGACACTCAGTGACACTTGTCAAACTCAATAGTTTTTTACCTTAACCACACAAAATTTTGTCGCTGAAAAACCATCATGTTGGTTTTACCCTGGTAGGAACAGGTACCTAGAAGTTTTGTCAGTAGGAAACCGGCCGTTCCTATTTTTTGCCAGTGTAAAACACTCTAGTGAAATAGTCATATACAGGGTGTCCCACGAGGTTTTTCCCAAATGATAATTTCGGAACGCATCATCGTATGTTCCACTGTATAATTTTCTGTCATATCCTTTAACAAAGCCTTAACAAATATGGCATAGCCGATTTTGTAATTTAATTTTCTAACGAAAAAAACCAAAAAGCAACAAACTTGAATAAAACCAGGAGAATAATTTTGCCTACATAATTTTTTCTTGAGTGGTATTCGGCTGGACTATTTCACGAGAAAAACAAACCAAATTTTCACTTGGAAAATTTATTTTCTTTAGGTGACACTTGTCAAACTCGAAAAACCATCATCTGCGTGTGGCTAAATTCAGCTGGTGTAGGCATCGTGGTGGAATGGTAGGAAAAGCAGTGTTGTTAAATTAAACAGGTTTTGACAAGCTGTGGTTTGGCATTGGCATTAGTGAATTTCAATCACCGCATCCGTGGCGGTGCACCATTTTGGTGAATTTAGCAACATGCGGCATGTAGGGTTTTGCCCAGGTAGGAACAGGTACAAGTTTTGTCAGTAGGAAACCGGCCGTTCCTATGACATTTTGCCAGTGTAAAACACTCTAGTGAAATAGTCAGCAGACAAAATGTTCTAGCCGAGGATAATCAAAAGTTTTTCCGGCTGTTCATTTCCATCGGAAATATTTCCTAGTGATTCAAGTGCCAGTAATGACTGTAATGAGTAATGATAAAAAGACAGGGTGCCCAAAGTATACGGAAATTGTATTTATGTCAGAATTGGATGAGTTTTGTAGATAATGTAGATCACACCTTTCTGATTAAAAATTACCATTGCACCAATCCTGAAAAATCACTCCTTTTTGAGAAAATGAATTTCATAGGTAGCAAGCGAAACGTTTGGACATTGTAATGGACGTTCAATGTAGCATGAATACAATAGGTAAGCTTGTGGCGCAGTGGTGTGCTACGTGGTTTGCGGCGGAGTTATTTTTCAGGACTGGTGCAATGGTAACTTTTAATCAAAAAGGCGTGATGTACATTATATACAGAATTCAGTCAATTCTGACATAAACACAATTTCCGTTTACTTTGGGCAGGGACCTTTCAAATTTTCTGCTTTTGATTTCTTCTGCAGAAGTTTTCTAGTGAATCAAGCGCTGGTAATAATCAAAATTTCCGGCAGAAAAATGTTGTAGCCGAGGATAATCAAAACGAGAATCTTTCCTAGTTTTTGATTTCCTTTGGAAACATTTCCTAGTGCGATTCGAGAGCCACTATTGATAAAAATTTAAAATTTTCGGCTTTTGATTGTTATGGTTATATTGAATCACTTACTACGGAGTGACAAACAACAAAACCTTCAAAAAGGTTCGTTACTGTTGGTCATTTATCAGCCCGCTTTACACTGTAGAGTGATGTTTTGTAAGATTTTGAAATAAATAAATGGCATAAATCAGTGTTCAGTGTAAACCTGGCCGCCATTTTGACTCTGTCATACTCCGTAGGTTCGTTGGACAGAGTTTAGGCATTTTTTCAGATTTGTCAATATGTTTTTTTAAATCGGGAGTCTTTCGAAGTGCAGATAACCCATAGTTATAACACCAGAACACTTAAATGTGAATTACCCAATCCCCAGATTAACTTTGACGACTGAGAAGAGCCCCTATATTATTTGGTCTAAGATTTTCTAACAAATTGCCAAGCAATATAGAAGAAATAATCTATTTCAAATCTTTAAACTTAATATTAAGGCAATCATTATTAATTTGGAGCCCTATTTAGGACCGGTTTATCAGTGGACGGTTATGTAGCTCAGCTGTTAATTATCTATAATAATTATCATTGGTTAACCGACAGCTAAACTAGATAGCCGTCCACTGATAAACCGGTCCTTAGTCGGGGATTTCTTGAATGGGTCAGTCTAATATTAAATATTTTTAATAGTGAATGAAAATAGTGAGGTTTAGGACAAGAAATCAAACTCCTTGATCAAAAATTCGCCGACGTTTCGGCGTTATATTAGGACTTCTTCAGGGCTGAAAGTAAAATAATATAACGCCGAAATGTCGGCGAATTTTTAATCAAGGAATTTGATTTCTAGTCCTAAACCTCACTATTGTCATCCAGTACTTCTAAACCAAGAACGCGAATATTTAAGTCAAAATATTTGTATATTTAAATATTTGATTAGAAAATTTTGGATTAATTTTCTTTGCTTTTCCATCCATAGACGCGTTTCGACCTATATCAGGTCTCATCAGTATGGCTAGGAAAAGCAAAAAAAAACCAATCCAATTTTTGTGCATCTATGCAAAATAGAAGTAGTAAGACGGTCGAAATTTGATCGTGGCGCCATCTAAGACAAGGATTCAACACTAAACAACAATTTTTGCTGTAATTAGTGATGCCATCTAATTGGCCGACCACGTTGGGAAAACCCAAAATAGGAAAAAAAGATTTCTCCTTATTATACACTGATTAGAAAATTTTGGATTAATTTTCTTTGCTTTTCCATTCATAGACGCGTTTCGACCTATATCAGGTCTCATCAGTATGGCTAGGAAAAGCAAAAAAAAACCAATCCAATTTTTGTGCATCTATGCAAAATAGAAGTAGTAAGACGGTCGAAATTTGATCGTGGCGCCATCTAAGACAAGGATTCAACACTAAACAACAATTTTTGCTGTAATTAGTGATGCCATCTAATTGGCCGACCAAAAATCAGTTCGTTGGGAAAACCCAAAATAGGAAAAAAAGATTTCTCCTTATTATACACTGATTAGAAAATTTTGGATTAATTTTCTTTGCTTTTCCATTCATAGACGCGTTTCGACCTATATCAGGTCTCATCAGTATGGCTAGGAAAAGCAAAAAAAAAACCAATCCAATTTTTGTGCATCTATGCAAAATAGAAGTAGTAAGACGGTCGAAATTTGATCGTGGCGCCATCTAAGACAAGGATTCAACACTAAACAACAATTTTTGCTGTAATTAGTGATGCCATCTAATTGGCCGACCAAAAATCAGTTCGTTGGGAAAACCCAAAATAGGAAAAAAAGATTTCTCCTTATTATACACTGATTAGAAAATTTTGGATTAATTTTCTTTGCTTTTCCATTCATAGACGCGTTTCGACCTATATCAGGTCTCATCAGTATGGCTAGGAAAAGTAAAGAAAACCAAAAATTGTTGTTTAGTGTTGAATCCTTGTCTTAGATGGCGCCACGAACAAATTTCGACCGTCTTACTACTTTTAAATATTTGTATATTTATGTAAATATTTTATTTAGTATCCATATACAATATGTAAACTATGACACCTGGGTGTTTTGTTTTTTGACACTATTTGCTTCTTGTTTGTACGTTTTCAGATTATCTGTTAATGTATAATGCAATTTCAAATAAACATCATTATTGTTATTGTTAGAAATAATGTCTACTCAGTAGTACACCCTGTATAAATACACGAGATCCTAGCTATCTTCTCTGCACTTTTTTACGAATTATTATAATTGCATGTTAGCACTGAAACAATTCAGATGTCAGATTTACAAATATTTATAGTCTTGATAGAAAATGTGCCTCCGGCCCCCTAGACGGCTTATTAGATCGATTTATGGACTGTTGCAATATTCCGCATTGGATCGTGAATTTCGCGTATTAAATTGGGCGGGTTTTACTGTTTTCGCATGATTTGTACTCACCGAATACTCCTAGTAATACTGCCCGAATGGTGTATCCGGATAAATTCGTTCGACGTAGTCGCTTTGTGGAACGACGAAGTCTTTTCGTTAACGAAAAACGTGTCAGGCACCCATATGTTTGTGATGAATTCCGAGCCTACAGATAACATTTCTACCTGCAATCAATAATCGTTAATTTTATTTGGAAACTTTTTTAATATTCGAGGTCTTACCTGCGGCCTTTTCCGGAACGCTAATCTAGGATCAGTCCAGAATTGTCGGAAGTAAAAATCCAATGTGAAATCCTTAATGAAACAACATGTGAATTAATTAATTATGTAATTATAAGGCTTTATTTAGTTCTATTATTTAATATTTATCGATTTTAAGCGTGCAGCCTAATAATTAATATTAATAAGTTTCTAAACAATGCAAAGCGGCTTTCGTTTCATTCAAAACGTGCTTACCTTCAGTAATATTTAGCGCGGTCATTGCCTTGATGAATTGTTATCGTTTGAGGTATTAATTTCAATTAACTATTTACAAATAATAGCGTTTCACATAATATGTCTTTAAACCTGATAAATAAAAATAGATTGCAATTTTTATGGAAACATAAAACATATATATCTTGGGCGCCATTAAGTACAACACTAGTTCATTTTTAATTGAAATTCAATCAACTTGTCACATAAAACTGGATCATGGGCATGGGGTGTCAGTAATTTTTGGCGTAATATACACTTTAAAATCAGCAGAGTGAATCTGCATGATTTATTATAATTTGTATGTACATGATACACACAGAGCTGGGCAGAACAGAAATACATTTATTTTGCATTTATTCTCAAACTCAAGTACTTGAAGTACTTTGTACAAGGGTATTTATTTATTTAAAACTAAACAACAGTTAAATAAAGTAACCAGGGTCATGTTAAGTTGGATTTAAACTAAAATTTCAAAATTATAAAACCAATCACTAATATATATTATACTATATGAAATTTAAATCTCCGGATATTTAATGTTAAAACTAAAATTTTCTAAATCAATTTCAAAACTCCACCTACATTTACCAAATCCAAATCCTCCTCAATTAAGTTACTTGAACTTCCAACACACGTAAAGTGAAACATTAGACATAGTTAAAGTCGTATCCTACGGCCCCATCTTAAGCGTAAAGAGACTAAAAGTGTCCAAAGATTTACCACTGAACCTTAACTGGGAGCCGATGCTAATGCTGGTTTAATGCTAATGAGATTACTATCTGGAGCTGAGAAAAGGCCTCGATTGTTAGCATTTGGAGTGGTATTTCCTAATTCCCAGGTTACGATCGGAATAATTAAGTTTGGTTTCTTGGGAAATATTTCAATAGACTTTAATAATAAGAGGCTTAAAATTGCCCTATTTTTCAAAACTTTTAAAGCTTCTGACTACATTATTATTTAAATCCAGATAATATTAAATAACGAAAAACGTTTGTTTACATTTCAAGCTGCTACAATTTTTGTATGTTTCTACTCAAAAATATAATACATAATAACTTCCTTGGTATATAGTTTTGTTACGTTCTTGCCCATCAAATTTCGCAACCGCATTCTGTAAGCACTTCAAAAATAAGTACGTTCTTATACTCATCATTAGGGCATGTTGCCCAGCTCTGTATCTATTCTAGAATAAACTTGAACCCTAAAATGTTCGATTAAACTAAATTTTGGCAACCAGACAAAGCAGTTTTTGAGATTAGTTCGGCACTTAGAGATTTGGACCACTAACTGTTTGAGTCTTTGCCAATATATTTCTCAAATAGAGCCTCATATTTGCATAATTGAGTTGAATGAAAAATAAAATTGTTTTCATCGTATTTACCCTGTATATGTTTAATGGCCCCATAAAACAAGCAAAGGTCGCGAAATAGGCTCAAGGTTGAGATACACTAAAGGTAAATCGATTTGCAGAAATCGCAAGTTTTTCATTATAAACAACTAGTTATTTAGTACAAGTGCAAATGGAGACTTTACAAAACATCACCTAAACCATTTTAATTTATTTAAAACTACTACTTTTAAGAAATAAGCATTAGTTTATATAATAATAGTGATTTTGTGCTTAAAATGTTACATTTATAAGCGTATAATAAACGCTACAAATTTATAAAACTCACATTTTCAAGTCTATCATTGGGGCTTGTTCTAAAAGAAACAGGTTGCAGACATGCATTGCCCATTATGCGGTAACTTGTGCAGTTTCCTCTTTTGCCAAGTCATGCGATTTTCTATAGGGTTGGCCGAAGCTTATCATTTTGTTTTGCCTTAATGAGAGGGGGTGCGTTTTAAGGGATGATTAATACCTCCCCCTAATTTACTTTTTTAGGTGAATCAAATTTTCATTTAAATGTTCCATGTATGTGTCTTATGGCGCAGCCCTGTAGGATGTATTTTATACTTATAAGTTGTGATGAAGTACATTTTTCTTTTTACAAATCCTGTGCGAAACTAGTAGGCTACATTGATACTCCACCACCAATCAGAATATTTTCCAGAAGAAAAAGTCACAGTACAAGCGTTAAGCGTACAAATTATCACATCTACTATAAATGTATCTAGAAACTGAAAAAATATGCATACGAAGATTGGGCTTTGGATACTTTGGTAGTTACAGACCAGTTTCAGTATTATCAGTTAAAGTCGATGAAACACAATTCAACATACCAAATCAGAAGGAATAGCTGAATTGAATGAAAATTCTAAAATATGCTATAATATACAAATTTCTGTATATGAATCAACCACAACATTGAGTGTCTTTCCTATGAGAGTTAATCATCAAGTATATTTTACTTGGGTTTCCTTACAATCTCTCAGATAATTTTACAATTTTTCACTATTTCTCCACATTGTTTCATGTTTGAACTGTAGATAAATACAGTAAGACTCTCGTTCAAACTTATATAGTAGACTGTAAGTAAGTACTTGGTCTCATTTAAAACGCATTGATGTCAGAAATCTGTAAAAGTGTATATTTTTTGATAGCAACGCATTTTGAATGGGAAATATCAAGTACCTTCTAGTTCAACCACTGGTTGGTAAAACTAGGCCTTAGTTGTCAAGTTGTTATAGTCATGTGAAGTAGTGGAAGCTTTTGCTGTGTTATGCCAGAAATAAAAACGATATTCTGACAATTCCATATAATAACTCTAATAGGTAATGGGCCCAGTAAATCAAAAAGAACCACATATATTTGTTTTGTACTAATGCACAAAATTGTGTGTCAATTGACAAGTTGACTGGTCGGGACAAATATAGCAGGTGGAAGTTTTCTATGAATGCACTTCTAGAATTAGATGACATGTGAAAAGTTGTCGAATGTACCAAAGTGAATGAAAAGAAAAACAAGACAGCCCTTTCGGAAATAATCATGTTTGTGGATGAGTTGAATGATTTTCACTTGAAGGCTGCTACGATAGTTAAAGATGCATGACAAAACTTGGAAAAAGCTTTTGAAGATTCAGGACTCAGAAGAAAAGTTGTTCTTTTAAGGACTTATCAACTACCAAGCTAGAAGATTGAAGTTGAGTAGAAGAATATTATGACACCATATGATATGTCTTTCGACATCACATGAGTTGAATAAAATGAAGTTCAAATTGGAAGATCGGTTGCCGGAAGAATAAGGCTCTGTAAAGTAGGCAGCTACAATTGAAGCACAAAAGTTGAATTTTACGTACTCGTTAGCGCTTCGTTAAGGCTTCAATCCCCAAATTAACAACCCTTGTATTTTCCGAGATATTTCGGTTTTTTGAAATCGCCTGCTCACTCATGACCAGCAGGAACAAGAAAAGCACCAACGTTAAGTTACAGATAAATGGTTAGTGCTTCCTAGTGCTTCAATCCCCCAATTAGCAACCCTTGATTTTCAGAGATTTTCCGGTTATTAGGAAACGCCTGCTTAGTTCATACATAGCAGGAACATTGGAAGCACCAACGTTCAGTTGTAGATGGATGGTTAGTCCTGATCTATAACATTCGCGATAAGATGAATATAACGGCTGCTCGAAAAAGAATCTAAGGCCCGGTTTATTCACCTTCTGATCAACTATCAGGATTATCTGACGGATAAAAACGCAATCTATAATCCTATTGGTTGACCAGTTATTTGTCGACCAATAGGATTATTGGCAAATTTGTCTTGTGGATAGTTACCAGTGAGTTTATCGGAAGATGAGTAAACCGGCCTAAGCATAAGGAAGCAATTAGTACCTACTAATTATATTTATAAGTAATTCAGACTAGTTTATACTGTTCATATTCTCGGTTCGCGGTCCTGGAAGTATAAGACTTGTTAAAAGCTGATGTGGTGCATCATGAAGCATTAACTAAGCCCTAACAATTTATCTACGTTAGTGCTTTCCATGTTTCTTCTGGGTGTGCAATAAACCGGCAATTTCTGAAAACCGAAATTTTTCTGAAAATAAAGGGGTTACTAATGTGGAGATTGCAGCACAATGAAGCATTAACGAAGCACTAACTATCTATCTACAACTACTAAACGTTGGTGCTTCCAATGTCCCTGCTATGTGTGAACTAAGCAGGCGATTTCTAAAAACCGAATATCTCTGAAAATTCAAAGGTTGCTAATTTGAGAATTGAAGCAGATTGAAGCAATAATCATTTATCTGTAACTGAACGTTGGTGCTTCCCTTGTTCCTGCTGGGCGTGAAGTGAGCAGGCGATTTCAAAAAACCGAAATATCTCCGAAAATACAAGGGTTGCTAATTTGGGGATTAATGCACATTAAAGCACTAATGACGCGCTAAACGATTACGTAAAATTTAACTTTTGTGCTTCAAGTATGCCTGCTTACTTCACAGAGCCGAAGAATACAGGCCAATAATTATGGGTCTAGAGAGTAGTGGAGCACAGATAACAGGGGATTCAATAAAAGTGAAGTTGCTGCAAGTTCTGATCCGAAATCAGCGAGCATGCAGCTCAAATTCAGAAAGAGGTCAAAGAGGTCCAGGTAAAAAGTCTACGAAAAACAAAGTTAAATCTGGAATAAGGAAAAACCCAATTATTCAGAACTGATTTTTAGTTGTGAAGCTATAGAGCATGTACCAGATCAGTTGAGAAAGGCATGGCATCCTAAATCACAGAAGTTATTGTTTATGGGCTATCGAGGTTATATAGATTCATTGGTCCAAAAATTGAGAAAATTATTCATAGTAGAGATGTATTTTTTGAAAGAGCAAAGATAGAGAAAAATAACAAAAAAAAAAGAGAAAATGGAACTGTATGGCCAGTAGAAA